AAAAAGGGGGGGGGGGTTGAGAAATGAAACCTGTAATGATGGTATGAGAGACTCATGAGCACCAAGTGAGGGAAACGATAGGAAGAAGAAGGAAAAAAAAAAGCAAAGAGAGATGGAAGCCTGCATGTCCTCCCCCATCCTTAGGCACATGCTATTCAAAGCCTCGTAATTTGCGTCATTAATTAAAAAGCTGATGGGATGGAGTTAAGGGGTTTGCAAGTCGCCCGGTTGGAAGAGAGAGAATAAGGGGGGGGGGGATAAAGGAGAAGGAAAGAAGGGGGGAGATATTTCAAAAAATATTGCAGTCATCCCACCATGAATCTCTATTAGCCGCTAATGATACCATTCTGATACCTCTCAACCATTAGTGTGAAATTGGGAAGCGTTAATTATTCAAATGAAAATCCATACAGCTGCCGCTCACACGACGGGGTCGCCGCTAACAGTCGCTAAAGGTCCTCATTGTTAGCTGCTCGGCGTGTGTTTCAAGCGAGGGAGGAGAGTACAATGAGTATGCAGAGTGTCTTATCAGGTGTGAATTATATTAGAAATGATATTATACTGTATGAACAAACACAATATGGATTATAATAATGTCATTATGCAGGGGCATTATAATTGAATTTTACAGAGTGTGCTATGACTCAACAGCAGTGTGCTTAGCCATTGACTGCTTCACATACAATTCTGAATTATGTGCCACAAAAGCACAACACTTCATGCACTTTCTTATTCAAATCGTGATTTTATAACCATGAAAACATTGTGCATGTCGTCGTCAAACGAAATCAAATTTGGTATGGCAGCTTGACCAATTAGGCAGGCTGCACAATCAGCCACTTTGCCTTTTCCAGCTGTGTGTGTTTGGCAGCGTGAGCCACACAGCAGCCAAACTGTTGCAAGCCGAATGCACACGGTTCACTGAGTTATTGTTTTCCCCCCCGAAAAAAAAAAACCCTGTTTCCAGAAATCTGAACCAACCTGGCCAAGCAATGCATCCGCTTAATTTACTGCCTTGGAAGAACCTCTACGTGATTGGCTGTTTCCATAATTGCCATGAAATCAAACTGACCTTTTTAAAAGATAGAACATTTTAGAAACTATAGTGTCATGACATGTGAACAGATGCCGAGATGTTTGTAGGCATATTGTTGTCCTTAAAAGTCTTCAGAGGGAGGTGAATGAAAGACATTGATTTTTTTTGAAAGTGCCTCCTTTGAAATATATTGCATCAAAGTATCCCAGCCAAAATGTCTTGTTGTAGAATAATAAAAGTTGTATAAAGAGCTACAATAGAGAACCATCAGTGTCTGATTTACTTGACAAACTTGTTGCTAAAATCCCTTCATTGGGTGTGCAAGACTTCTTCAATTGTTGGTTAAATTCTCCCTGCAGCTACAGCACAGAGTGTGAGATGGTTTGAATGGAGATTTAAAAAGCATTCCTCCCAGTACTTATATTCTTGTATAACCTTTTTTTTTTTTTCCATACTGTTGTCCTTCTTCAACCTTTGTCCTCAGCTGTATTGCTGCTGTTCAATCCATCCATTCTCGCTCTTCCTGGCCAGTTACGCCTAAGAGTAACAAACACGCTTAGATGTGATTGCATCTGTCCAATAGTTGACAGTTTACACAAGTTAACAGGTGCATTTTAAATAGGAATTCTTCTTTTATTTGAAAAATAAATGTTGTTGTTTGATAATCCACGGGCCTGCATTCCTCTTGATGCATTTTAATAGAGCAAGGCAACCCCAAGAAAGCTTCTCAGTAGCCAGAAGATTAAGACTGCTTCCACTGGGCTTCTTCCAAAGCTGACTGCTGGTAAAGAAGTGAATTGCAAATCTTATCCTAGATATCAGAAAATACCTGGGGGTTTGGATTTCTCCTTGCCAATGATAGCTTTTCCTCCTTCTGATTTGCTCTGGCATCCAAAGACGGGTGCTTGCAGCTGGTCAAGTCATTCCTCTGAAAATTGTGCCAGAGCCTTCAACAACGACATATCCAAGTGCAGTGCCTGTTGCAAAAGCAGAATTCTGAGCAATTTTCCTGAATCACTTCAGCCATCCAAAACAATTGAGAGCAATATATTTAAGTTTCAAGTAAAGGAAAAGCCACACATAACCCCACAAGTTGCTGAAATGTTGAGAGACACCGCCTTGAACTTCAAATGTGGTAGTTACCAACAAGCCCCATCACAGCAGTCATGTATTTTCTCAGTCCCATATCTGCTATTGAAAAGTTTGTCACTCAATTGATAATTACCTCTTATTCAAGTAATTAGCTCTTTGCAGTGATTAAAAGTAGATTTCACTGAAGCACAGTAGATCGTACAATGGCAGAATTACCATTAACATCATTGAACAATCCAGTCGAGGATCTCCAGTAATTGTGCTTTTTTTTTAAAATAAAAAGCTGTTTGTGCTCGTTCATTATGAAAACTGATAATGTGTAATAGAAGGTGGCATACTGAGGGAATTGTGAATAACCCATTAAATGTTTTTTTTTTTTTTTTTGTTCTTGGTATAAGTGGGGTTTTGACAGAGGATATGAATGATGTGCTCAAAAGTAATATGCACAGCTTCATATTTTTGATGCGTTCAGTCTTCTCGGGCGTCACAGAGAAAGACAAGGAGATGAAAGAGAGAGGGATTGGTTGAGAGGATGAGAGAGCTAAGTGCTTTTTAGTGACTCAATGACGGCCGTGACCAAAATCGTATTAAGGTCACAATGGGGGTGGTAGGGTGGAGTAAAGAGGCTTTTCAAATGAATCAATTCTCTGTCTCACTTTTTTTTTTTTTTTAAATTTCTTTTCCACTCTCCTTGCTTGTATCTGCAATGCCAAAACGTCAACCCTCCAATGGTTGTATCACAGGTGTATCTCGGAGTATACCGGCTTTGTAGGAAAACACAAGTGGACGTGACATGTACAAGTTTGAGTGATCTGACGGGTGACCTTGTTGCGTTCAGAGGCATTCTCAGGTCAAGCGGCGAGGCCACACACTGTTCAGTAGCCCGGGGAGTATAGTGTATTTCCTTGTCAGGGATTTCATCCGAATCCTTTCCTCCCTTCTTTCTCACACCATGTCCCCTGGGCGATTGCTTTGTATACCACTTCTCACATCCCCATCGCTAATGCCTTTTTCTATAGATCATTACCCTCCTCTCCCCTCGCCACTGTTAGCGATCGCTCAATCAGAAACGCTGGCCGCCCTGTGGTCCCTGTTGTGTGGCCGCTGCTCATGGAAGGTGAAGAGGCTTCGATCGGGGATGTTTGGCTATTTACTTTGATTTGATCTATGGGGTCCATGTGCAGTTCCGAGTTATTGGCAAATTTGAGTCGCCAGTAATGATGATTCAGATGTAGCCTGCAGCTATTGTTGCCCAGACTCTGTATGGACTTATTGTGTTTCAATGACAGCTGGAGTGTTTGCTTGTTGATGAGGTCCTGCGCTCTACCACTGTACAATTTTATGATCTGACAAACACAGACGACTTGTTGAAAGCTGCTCCCCTCCCCATTATTTTTCTCTCTTTTTGCCCTTTCCCTCAGCTGACACAGCTCCCTCTCGCTCGCTGTTTTGTCATTGGCTCACCGCTCTGCATTAATATTGTTCTCCTCTAATAACTTTCCCATCTTTCAAACTTTACCCCACCCGCCCCTGCCTGCTGACCTCCATACCTCAGTCTGTTGCACTCTCCATTTGGAGGAGAGGACTCTTGTAAGCCCTGGTAAGAGAGGTTAATCCTCTCTTATTAGAACCGGGATTACTGGAGGGGAAGGGACAGGACCGGCAAAATGGCATGACTGACTGAAAGCTTGTCCACAAGAGGAAGCAATACATATAGTGTGGAGGGAGTTAAGATGTAATAGCCGCAGAAGAATGGTCACAGCGTTTCAGTGTAGCTGTTGCGCTGCGGAGTCAAGGCAGCTCTTTCACTTCCAATACACCTGCAGGTTTTCATTTGTAAAAGATCTTTTTGTATTGCAGTACATTGATAGATTAAACATTGACAAAAGATAAAATAAGTGTAGAAATGGATAACTGTTTGTGAAAATGCACCTTTTCTGCTCAGTTCCCCTCATCTCTAGATAGCACTTCAGTGTCTTTATCAAATTCTTTTGGTTTAGTCACTGAAGCAATGCTTTTTTTGCTTTAGTCTTACTGATTTAGTACATTTCATTCCAGCAGCTGCACAAATATGTTTTTCACATGCCTATAAACGTGCTACCAAAGCCACTCACAGTGCTAGCTCCCCAGTGAAAAAGCACATGAACAAAGCTAGCAGCTAGCTGGTTGCATAGCGTCGCATTTTGCAGCTAACACACACATACTTCCTCAGGAGCACACTGTCTAACTTGCAAGCAAAGTTCAGTGTGCAGGAGTTTGTCTTTAAGTTTTTGATGGACACATTGCTCTCCTACGCACCTGTCCTGTGAAGTGGATATGCGAAGGTTTTTTTCTAATTTATACCAAGATGTTAGATGTAACTTGTTTTAAACCTTAAATAATGCCTGTATTGTTTTATACAGTATATGATGGATGTGAAGCTTAGCAACAGTGTCCTCACATAAAGCTAGGGCATTAAATGTGTCAGTCTGTCTAAGTCATCCATGACAAATTTTTCCGTTGAAGTGGACTGCATTGCTATGCAGAGGTGCTTTTTTTTTTTAACTCAAGGCTTGAGGTGATTTCACTGCTGTGAAAATGTTTTTTTTTTACATATTCTCATCACTCAGTCATCTGCAAAAAATGACAACACACATTTTGTACAACTTAAGACCTGATTAATCTGTCTTTTTATCCTACAGGATCACATGTGTACTTCATTCTCCTTCTTTAAAGCTGGTGATTGAATGTTCTGTGTGTCTACCCACTAACCCCGTGTTCTTTTTGAATGATTATGTTACTGGTATGAACTATAAGTCTTTTCCAAGTTATAACACATCAATAATCTGTTTCTTTATTTCTTCTTTTCTCTTCCCTTCATGCCTAAAAATAGAAGTGGAACAAAAAGGTAACTAAATGACAATAACTTATTTTATTTTCATCTGCATTATCATTTAAGTAAATGCTTGCATTTGTTTGGTGACGGGTTTGCTACAGCAGGTCTCATGACATTTTGTAGATTCACGCTCATTGTCTGGTTCATCGGTGAGGTTAAACATGTCATTCATGGGGAAAATTAAATTGCTTGGAGAGACGGTGTTAGAAATATACAAAATGAGCCAAATCTCTCTTTGATTTAGTTACGCAGCAGCTTGGAAAAACCAGCCCTTCTTACTCCAAAATATTCCAATTTAGCAGTTGATCTGTGACCCAAAGCTTTGAAATATGAAGACTAGGTATCTCTCTTGTTTCAGTATGACACATGTAGAGCTCCACAGTCAAGAAACAATCGATCATTGCAGCATCCAGTTATTCTATAAAGATAAAACAGGCAAGTTAGCCGTCATAAAATGGAAAGACCTTGTTATATTTTCAAAAATGGAACATGTGTTGGACCCTTACGATTCTTGATTTAATATCCCAATGCCCTGCTCTTTGCAATAGCTGAATGATCACTTTATCCATCAAAGTTGCAATTGTAATTTTTTTTAAAATTAAAATGTGGAGAGAGCGCAATGAATCAACATAAACATGTAAATATGCCAAATTGTAGCCATAGGCTTTTTCCCATCTGTAGCCCCTAGTCGGTTGGTACATGTATAGGTTGGAAAAAAAGGGGGGGGGAGATACTGGAAAAGATTTTGTAGTCATCCCACCATGAATCAGTATTAGCAGCCTATGATACCATTCTGATACCTTGTGTTGCAAGTCAGTTGGCTGACAAATAATCAACATTTTAGGACTTTTGAATATGCAACAATTATAATGATGTATAGCATTTTGTGAAACACTTGTAGTTGAATTATGTGCAACTAATTTTGAAATATGGGGTTGAATTTGGGTTAAAATAAGTACTAACCCTAAGTACATAATGCTACCAATAAACCTTAATTAAAATATAGATACAGTTCATATCTAGCATAACCAGCCTTCCGTCCATACATTACTAAAACACAACTAATATGTGTCTTTATCCCTTGATTTATTGATCCAGCTATACCCTGATTCCAATTCTAAAAATACGCCCCAACTCTTCATGCTACTTCACAACACTTTATGGTCACATTAAAAAAAAAAAACAATGTTGACATACAGTGTCCAGAAGTGAAGCTAGAGATCTACCTCAAGGATCTACTTTTGAAGGATTAGGCCACTGACTAAACTGCTGAATCTTTGTATGAAGTGGAGTAAGAACAGGCTGTCATAAACACTGAACATCGGGCTGGACTCCTACCTTCAATCAGTGTTCATCATCAGTACCACAGATTGACAGCTCTTCTGACATTACCACATATACGATAATCATCACAGCTAGGTCATTAGAGACTGCTCTCCAGTGTAATCCTGTAACCCTGGGATGTTTTTTTATCCCCTGTAATAAGTGCTGGTTTCCCCATCTTTGCTTTATAGCTGAATAAAATTAAAGTCGAGGGTGATCAATAGCTTGTCCAATAAGCTGTCAGCATTTTTGATTATAGCTCTAACATGATGATGGCTATAACCTTCAGGGACATACCAGTCAATACCGGAGACGGATCAAAGCGGTCATATTCTTACCTTATCAGCACTGCATGATGTTAGAGAACATATGCCAAATCTCCACTTGCGGCCCAAGAGAATTGTGTTTGCAGTGTTACCTTCTTACATGAAATATTTCCCTTTGTCAGACGTTAACTGTTAAGTTGAATTTAAAGTCAAAGATTGAAATGGAATCATTAAACAAGAGTCAAGAGTCTCGCTTTAATAGCTGTGCAATAAATTTGAAGTTTCATAGGAGTCATTAATTAATGACACATCTCTGGAATCTGTGGCAAAGAGAATGAGCAATGAAGGTGAAGGGGGAATCTGAAACATTTTTATAGAGATGACTTTATAGAGATGGCTTTGCCGCCACGTTAACAGTTTTTGTGCAATTCCCCATGAAAGCCATGATTGCTTTTGTATCACTTCTCTAATATCCTCTACCCACTCCTCCATCTATTTGCTTACAGCCTTAAAAAGCATATTTTACAACCTCCTCAGAGCCCAGCGTGCTGTCATTTCAAAGCTTGCCCACTCTGACCTTGTTCACTAGCACAACTCATCTTTTTCCAACCATGGGAACAGCCCTCTTAGCATTTAGCACAGCAACCGCTGAGACGTGTGCCAAGGCGCTATGTCAACGGGACGCATCTCTCCACATTTTTCACCCGCAGGTAGACAACATGTTTAATCTTGAGAGATTACAAGGGGAAGAAGGCTCTGTTTTCGCTGTCTCTTTCTCCCCTTCTCCTCCGAGCGTGCTGCTTTTTCCTCTCGACGGATCTGCAGCTAAAGCCTGTCAGCACTGTGTCAGGCTGTTGGCCCATTATTGTGAAAAGGGCCTTCAAACACACACACACACACACACACACTGTGTTTTTATACATGATTTATTGTGTATGAAATCTTGGTATTTCCTTTATATTGTCTTAAGCTTTGCCCTGTTCAGATTTAGCATTTTTAAAATGATTTGAATAGATTGTTTTGGACTACTTCATAATGAGATATTTATATAAATATTCTGAATAAAACTATTCTGAATAGAAGCACCATCTCCTTAGAAAGACAGAAAATGATAATTGCCTGAGTCCATGATAATCCACAATGAACTGAAATAAGCTTTCACAAACGGTTCAAAGTATTGACCTGCTCCAGCTGGATTGCCTGGGCCTAGCTTTATCAGATTTGAGTACAAACCAGCTCACATATAATTAGTTTACAATGTGGGGTGTTGTAAATCATGCCGCAGACTAAAACTGTCATGTGGATGAAATAACGGACAGGCAAATCATTATATAGATGATGTAATTATTGTGGGTTTTTTTCTCTCTTTTTGTTTTCCTTTTCCTACAGGGCTGCCTCAGCCAATAATTACAGCGTAGCTATTTGTCAAACTCTTTTAACTTTGTGATTGTGTGTTTAAGTCTATTTATTAAGAACTGCCTGCAGGGTGTTTTCAATAAATGAAAACAATGAAATCTTTTTAGTGTAATTATATTTGATTTAGTGGATGTGTACAGAAAAGGAGCTCTGTGAAGGGTAAGGAAACAAAAAGGTAACTGATAAATGAGTGTGAGTCAGTCAGTATGTGGTTAAGTGTTACCAGGATCTACTGCATGGAGTCTGGTCTACATTCAGTGAGTAGATAACCCTCACTTAATTTATCCAACCATATTCATCAGTGACACGATAAGAAATTGCCCCAAGACTCAGAGGCATACAAAACAGAATGTGAACTACAATAAATAGAAGTGTAGTGTGTTATTACATGCATTGTACAATCCAGAACTCATTGGCATCGTCCAATAAGAACATTTGTCTGACAATCAGTTATCTTCCCTGCATTATATCTAGAAGTTGCAGATGCAGATTTCCATTACAGTGTCTTTGCGTTTGCTTTCTGGGTTATTTAGTGATGTCTAATACCTGCCAATGTAACTCTGTACTTGTCTTTCCCCTATTTTGGCTCCTCAGTATTCCTGTGCCCAGGGCTTCTGCGCAGGGTGTACCAGAGCGAGCACCTCTTTGAATCCGACCACCAGTCAGGAGCCTGGTGCAAAGACCCTCTCCAAGCGTCTGATAAGATTTACTACATGCCCTGGACACCCTATCGTACCGACACGTTGACCGAATACTCCTCCAAAGAAGACTTCATCGCTGGAAGACCGACGACGACCTACAAACTCCCACATCGTGTCGACGGAACCGGTTTTGTGGTCTACGATGGCGCGCTCTTCTTCAATAAGGAGCGCACGCGCAACATTGTCAAGTTTGACCTGCGGACTCGTATCAAGAGTGGCGAAGCGATCATTGCCAACGCCAACTACCATGACACTTCTCCATACCGCTGGGGAGGGAAATCAGACATTGATTTGGCCGTTGACGAAAATGGCCTTTGGGTGATTTATGCTACCGAGCAGAACAACGGGCGGATTGTGATCAGCCAACTCAATCCCTACACATTACGAGTCGAGGGGACCTGGGACACCGCTTACGACAAGCGCTCAGCCTCCAATGCCTTCATGATCTGTGGAATCCTATATGTAGTAAAGTCAGTGTATGAAGATGATGATAATGAGGCGACAGGGAACAAGATTGACTACATCTACAACACAGAGCTGAGTAAAGATGGTTTTCTCGACATCCCTTTTCCAAACTCCTATCAGTACATTGCTGCTGTGGATTATAATCCCAGGGACAACCTGTTGTACGTTTGGAACAATTACCACGTCGTGAAGTACTCGCTGGACTTTGGAGCATTAGACAACAGGCTAGGTAAGACCAACTTTTTTCTTTATACATTTACTCTCATGGTATTTGTCCACGGCACATGTTCTTTTGTCATTTTCAGTCCTTGTGATCAGTTCAAATCTTACTTTTAGAGTAGGTGAGATGTGCTCAAATGTTAATGGAAACTTGTAAGTTGTTGACTTGTAAGTGTTCCTGTGTTATTCAGTCTGGGGTAAGCGTCAACACCATTTACTGCTTTGTGTCTGTCTTACATTCAGTGAGAACATAATCCTCTATCCAACCCTAACCTAATGGGTTAATGAAACAATTCAACAGACTCAGTTTTGAGGTGTTTGACAATCTGGACACAGCAGTATTTTTACTGGTATTTGGAAATATGAAAATGACAAATCAGACGTGACTATTTTTCATCCATGAGTTTTGGAACAAAGCTCACTTTCTAATCACTATCATTTCTGCAACAGGATAATGACATTGGCCCATCCAATCATGCAAAACATTGGTTCAGAAAAGTAGAAAATAGATACACCAGCCAGATTACACAACATTTTGAATGCATTCCCTTGGATCTAAGAGGATCATTTTAAAGGATTTCATTGAACCAGTAACCTTTTCTTGACACCAAAAATCCTCACACCTAGCCATGATAAATACTTACAAAAGGAATGGGCAAAAAACACCAGTCAACAATGCAAACACGTTCTCCAGAGCCTTGGCACTGCAAATTCTCTCTTTACTTAATGGTACTGTAGTGGCACTATCAAAAGGCAAATACTACATTTATGCATGTTGTCTGCATGAACTTTAAGCAATATCTCTATCAAATCCAACCGAGACATATATGTTCACAACAAATTAGATTCTTTTGTCTCTTTAAGTGACCCATTTGATCTGAAACCCACAGAATGAAGTACATTTATCGCCTTGTATTGTGACTTAAAGGGCTCTGAAAATAGCAAAACTCACCATGTTTGTTCCACCTCACACTTTAATGTTGTGGGATCTAAAGAACAGCTTGGCATGGCAATCTCTTATCACTGTAGATCTTCATATTTGTCCTATTTTGGTCAAGTAAAAAGCAATAAAATAAAAGATATATGTTTTCCAAATGTAGCACCCCAAGACTGTGTGGGCTGGTGATAATTGCTTATGTGGAATGTTGCTCAATGTGTCATTTTGCTGTTTTTAATTAGCCTCAAAAATAAAAGGGATGATTTAATCAATCATTAAGATAAAAAGAAGGATAAAATAATATGGGTAAATAAACAAAGATGCCATTAAAGGAGCAGCAGCCGTTATTACCTTTATCAATTCTCATTAAACAATTCAAGAAACTGGAGGCATACAGAAACTCCTGGTTTAACTGTAAGGACGTTTATGACACATTGAGTTCAACACTAAGTATTGTCACACTGTGTTCAGCCGCAAGCCAGATCTTTTACCCACTCTTAGTGTTGCCTTTGAAAAGGAACAAGCAATTTCTCATGTTAAACTTCTTGGAAGTCTTTTGAAAAGTCTAATTTCTCCACGCCATTGTTCTTTTTATAAATTGGCTCTTTGGAAACCAAGAAACAGAAAAAAATGAACCGGTTTTGACACACCAAGGTAATTCTTCGCGCTATCTCATCAACAGCTCGAGTCAAAAATGTCACGAGTTATTTGACTGTGAAGTCCTTGCCTCAGCGTTCTCCTCTGAGGCTTTCTCTACCTGCCGCTTGCCAGTTTAATTTATTTTCCTCAGCTGGCTGCCGCTCGACCCCAAATCTCTTTCTTGTACACTAAGTCCTGCTTCAATAAACTTTCAAATATATTCATTCATTTACTGGGCAAGTTTTGATGACACACAGCTACCCAAAATATAAATGATCGCAGTTGAAGATGGCCAAATTATTTTTTGCTTGGTTTCTGTGCTAAGTGATTATCCATCACTTTGTAAAAAAAAAAGTGGCACACAATGATCATACACATTCACATGCAAATTGAAATTGTTGATCAGTCAACATCTCAAGCCCCTGTTGAGATTTGTCGACTTGTGTGTTTGGCTGCTGTTGTCCAGGATATGCTGCCCTCCAAACAGGCTGCTGCATGAATATAGACAATAAAAAGTTTCATTAAGTGGATGGATGGAGTCAGAGAACAAATATAAATGTCAGATAAACACACTGATAAGAAATGAAAGAGTGATTGAATAGGCTGGGGAGTAATAAACCATTTAATTTGAGCAACTCAGACCAAGTACACAAACAGACGATGGAGGCATTGCTCTGTGTGACTACTTAGCTGTGCATATTTTACACACAGATGTGCCTGTTTTTGAGATTTTAGGGTATTTAAAAAGCTGCTCTGAGGAGGTTTCTAAATTAAATTCCATTATTTCTATGTGTCTTGTGAAATAAAAGCCAGACAATCTTAATGGAAGCAGACAGAGTTATATCTTTTTAGGAAAATGAGCCGGAATGTACAGGACCTGATCAGGATGTTCTGTCGACTGTACAGCTCTGCAAAAAAAAAAAAATCTATACAAATCAAAATGACTCATACCAACATTTATTATAATGGGTAAATTAATATGCGTTTGCAAAGTAAAACTTGCAAAAATATAGTTAAAACAACTCTTCAAATACTGAAAAATGTGAAAACTAGAAAGAATCAGCATCAATGGCTGCTGGGAAAGAGCCACAAAGATGAGGGTGATTTTTAAAGCATTTGAGGTATGTATGCTTCACCAAAATGGGTAAACTGAAACTCAATATCTTCACTTTTTGAGATGTTTGTTTAGTAGTGACAACAAGCATGGTCCTGTGTCTTTACTATAGAATGTGTTTCATTGCCTGTTGTCCCCCCCAAGCAATTAAAAACCACCAAAATTAGAAAGTCTTCTAATATGCACCATATACAGTATAAACAAGCAAACCAGCTCTCTGCAGAGACCAAAGCCAGCCTAGCACTTTCCTTTGGTTGCCAACATGATCGTTTGGAATTTGATCCAGTGTCATGAACATCCGGCCTGTTAACACTCCCTGAAAGATGCCACTCTGTGATCGCTGTGAACACAAGCTCATTCAACTTGTGCTCCCATCACAATGAGCATGCATGACCTGCCATACCAGTGGAGCATAGTGTATGTGCAACAGAGCAGCAGACATAGGGCCAGGACCACAGCTGAGGCTCTGACGCCTTATGCTGAACCACATGGACCATGGGACAGCACATGCTACAGGGAAGTAGGCAGAAGCTGGGAAAATTCTGTATTATCTGAAATGTTACATCAAGGACTTAAAAATATCTTATGGTTCTTATTTGAAATGATTTGTGTGCTTTTCAATCTCTTCTGCAGATCATCTTGTTATATTCCTATCGTCTTTCAGGAAAAAAACAAGAACAAACTTTCTTAAGCTCACCCCAAAAAATCTTGAATTGATATTCATGAAAATCAATGTATTTTTCTCTCCCTTTTGGAACACTCACCTGCAATAATTCTGTGATAATATCCAAAGTTCCTAAACTCTTTTGAACAGAGACAGCAGTATCTTTGCCCAAACAGGCTCTTTTCAAGGACAGATGATCTGTGCCTCCAACTCCATTGATAATTAAATTCAGTGAATTGGTGATATTAAAAAAAAAAAAAAAAATCGGTGCTGCAAAGACTGCCATAAGCAGGCAGATAAAAGCTCTTTTATCATCTATCCCTGAACATGATCACATTGAATGCCTGACTGTACAAGGACAACTTTGGAAGGAATTGCTCGGTGATCTTCTTTTGAAAACATTGAATCAAATAAAACTTAATTAAAGACACCAAGGACTCCATTCTGTTCATGCAATATTTGAATACACAGTAGCAAAGAGGAACATCTGGCAAACTTGACTTTTGTCCTTTTTCCGAAAATCAGAAAATGAAAATTCTGCAATTTATCATTTTGGTGTTCGGACAGTTGTGGAACTTTGACTGCCAACTGTCCATGACCAAGTTCATGCAAGTTAAGTCAAAAATAACCAACCCAAAATATGACTTATTGTGTTTAAACTCTAATTATTGATTCTGCATAATGATTTAAAATCTATAAGCGCTTCGCCCTATTGTGGGTTTCAATAGGTTCTGATTGTGGTACAAGTTGTTGACCAGTTGTCCACTTTTGTTTCAGTGCGAAGAAAAGCCATGCTGAGAACATACGCAAATGCACTTCACAGTGAAGCAGGCCAAAAACACAAAGACAGCTATGTAACAGTGACTGAGCTTTCATTTATCTCTATAGATATTATCATGCAACCACAGCTAACAATGTGCTCTTAGACTTTGTCTCTCAACTCCAACTTCATTCTCTTTTCTCAAATTGTTAGTCAGGGAGTGGTTTAAGGAAATCTTGGTTTGAGGTCTTTAATTTCAAACCACTGGCCACACCCAAGACCCTAAGTTGCCTTTGGCCTCCCAGAGGCTTATATCATCATCAGGTGATAGCCAATGGATTCCAAGATGCCATACGAGTTTTATCTTTGGTTTTCAGTAAAATGTCCTCAAGGCTCTTGGATGGATTGTGGTAGATTTTGGTACAGACAGTCATAGTCATTTGAATTTCCCTCGGGATCAATAAAGTATCTATCTATCTATCTATCTATCTATAGTCCCTTAGGAAGAACTGTAATATATGTTTTGTCCTTAACTTCCCATTCAGGTTCATCATTTAATCATTGTTTTTTTATGCAACAGTCTGTGCTCTTGCTTTGTAGATTTTGAGAGTGTTACACAAGTCTATGTTTCCAGCCTATACTGAATTCGCTTCCTGCGCTTGCAGTGAATTAGACCCGCTGCATATTATTTCCTTATACTTGAATGAAGAAATTAATCCCAGCCCGTTATCTACCAGAATGACCTCAGAGCTGTCTGCTACAGTGAGCATGAGGCAGTAGCTGCATCAAGTCCACAACACTGCAAAGGCGAGTGCAGCCACATGAGACAATTTGCCTCAGTTTCCCACACCTGCTGTTGCGGCACTAATATGCTGTCGTCAGATGCAAATCCATGC